GCACATAAATACTTCAATTCTTGGGTTTTTGATTGGCTGTGAAACTTTTGACACCCTACGTTTTTAGTTTTAAACAATTTTTATGTGAAACGCTGAGCTGCAATTTATGCTGATAGAACAAAATTTTTTTTTTCGTCGTAGCTCTATTGCTAGGAAGCATTTGCAATATTGACTCTTAAAGGAACTTTCCGCAACTGAGCATCTCAGCAGGGCAGAGTTTTAATTTAAGAAATTTGAACATATCTTTGCCAAGAAGTTTTTATTGAAGTTATCATGCCAATTTTTGTTTGAAAATTTATTCACATAAATAAAGTTACCAATACCACCAAGAGTTCACCCTTGTCTCATCGTCGCAGAGGAACGTTTTTATATTTTATTGGGCGTATTTGATTAGTCAAATCTTGTTAAGGAATTTCTTGCAAATAATTTACATATGTTGACACAAGATAAATAAAATTGACAAAACCTAACTAAATTTTCACAAATTTGTTGAAAACTGAAATCTTAAGTTTTACAGCTTCCTTGAATTTGCTATATTCATAAATTTGTTATATTAATTCCCATCTAACGAATGTCCTGCTCTGTAAATATTGTCGGAAAATATAAATCAAAGTGCTTAAAATTCGTATTTGATATAATGAAGTTAAAACATTGACTTTAAAGTCTTAATAAATGGTAGACATGGCTTATAAATATTCTATATTTAATTTATAATAAAAAGCATGAAATATTGCAAAATGTTAGACAAAAAGTTATTATTTATTAGTTTTTACTGAGTGTAAGAAAAATTAATGTGGAAGATTTAGTTATTTACTATCCTAAATAAATAAGAACAATTTTTTGTTAATGTAAAAGCTCTCCAAATGGCTTCTAACACTACCTTAAAAGACTATCTCTTCAGAAACGATAAGTCCATTTTCATGTATTTCCAACCCTCGCAATAATTATGTTTTTTTTTATATTCTCTATGCAAATCTTTGGTATTTTTTGTTTAAAATCGCTTTATTACAAGTTGACTGAAATTTTTTGAAAGCGACACCTATTAACTAGAAGAAGAATCAACATTTATACGCCATACATCCATACTCTATCCAACCAACAATCCAAGTAAGGTGCGTTATTAATTTCTTTAAATTTCATATCTAACCACCCAGTTGCCCATACGTTAAAGTTAAGATCTTACTAATGTTCTTATTTAATATACTAATAATCTAATTTGTGCGAAAAATCAATTATCTTCGATCTTGATAAGTGTTTTGTTTTGATTGAACTATGCTTCGATTGAATGACAAAATTAAGATAAACTAACACATTTGTCCAAGGAAAAATTTTGTTTCTGTACTCGTTTACACGTCAATAAAAATCATGGCAATATAAAATGAATTACGATATGAATTGCTTCCTAACCCACCAGATTTCTCCAGGTCTGACTCCCAATACCTGTTACCAGCTTTCAAACCTGAAGAGATAGCTCCAGGGACTCCAGGATTTGCATCAAATAATGAAGTGGAATAAGAAATTGAGGTATATTTTGGAGAAGTTTATAATTGTTCGTTATCGTATTTTTTAAAAGGTATCCAAAAGTTGGAAGATCGTTGGAGTCGAGCGAAAAGTTATATTGAAGCATAAAATATAATTTTTCAAAAAAAAAATGCGCTTTTATCTTTTAGGCCGTGTGTTTATCAATCCATCTAGTAATATATGAAGGAATACTTTTTCTGCGTTCAAATTAATAAAGTTTGGCTCGTAGCATAAGCACATCTTAGGCCATGTGGACTAATATAGGTTCGCTATAAGGAAGATTGGCTCGTAGCTCAAGCACATTTTAGGCCATGTGGACTAATATAGGTTCGCTATAAGGAAGATTGGCTCGTAGCTCAAGCACGTCTTGAGTAAATGTAGATTGGCACCTATCTTTTGGCATTGTTTGCGTGTACCAAATCACTTCAGAGCACTTCATATATGAATTATGCTCCTACAAATTCATTGCCTATAATGAATATATTTCGAAATTATATTCTTTTTAAAAAATCAACAAAAAATTTTGATTTTGTGTAATGACAAAAAGGAATAATATTATAAACAAAAATTTTTTAATTAAATACAATTTAATAAATAAGTTAATTAAAGCAATATATGTAAATAAAAATTAAATAATAAGAAAATTTATTTATTTAATTTTAATTTAAGCTCTTACCATTTGCATTCGAAATCAAATATTGACTTGTGGGTTCGAAATAGATATAAATTTTCCAAGCAATTTGAAAAGACTTTCACACATCATTGAACTAAGAAATATTTTTGTAATAAAAAGCAAATATTAAAAAATTTATTTTTATCTGATATACAAATATATATATGTATATAGCCACAGTGTATGTGAATACTTGCAAATATATTTTATTATCAATTTTGACCAATTTCAATTGCACCAAAAAATATATATACCAAAAAATATGATAAACAAATATATTGAAATGATATGAAATGAAATGAAATGAATTTGTGGAAATCAGCAAAAATTTAAATGAGCAGAAATATTTATTTGCTTAGCAAACTCAGAGAAAAAGGATAAAATCTGACATAAAACGTATAAAGTGTAATTTATTGCAAAAAGTAATAAGTAGTGAAAGGGTTCCATTCAAATTTGCATATTCGCACAAACACACAAACACACATGAAAACCAAATATATCCCATAAAATATTTATTTAATCTTTTATAAAAATAATTTTTTTTCAGTTCCATGGATTCTCTAACCTAACCTCTAACCTAACGACAATAAAAAGGACACCAAAATTATAAATGTTTTTCTACTAAAACACAAAACACTTAAGAAAATGACATTGACGTTGAACAAAAGGATAATTGAATTGATGCTTTCAGCATTTGAGAATTATTCCATTGGAACCCATAAAGTTGGCTTGCGAATAAATAGTGCATATACTCGTACTCCTATTTCATATTAAATAAAATAAAACTCACATATTTCACTTTTAATGAAATTGTTTTCTTAGTATAAATCAAAAGTTTAATATTTTATAGTTAAATATGTGTATACATATGGAATACGAAAAAATTTTGGTATAACTATAGTGTATTTAATGGATTAAGTACTTTATACTGGGATATATCGAAAATATAATTAAACACCAAATTATATATATATGTACTTTTGAATAAGGTAAAACGTTGATCAGGATTGTCTGGCTGTGCTAAATTACACAAGCATCGTGTTTAGTGAATATGTAAGCTTGATTCCACATTAAGATGTATGGAAAATGCGGATCTAACAAGTTGATAATGCAATATTAGAATACCTACAACCACCTGTATAATGTTTTTGAAGAATAGTGCTGTTTAAGAGTCCAACAAGTACGTGGCAAACAAAAACACTTATCTAAGGTCAGTCCACATGTAGTCGAAATTTAATGTGAAAAACTCAAGAGAATTGCTTGGACTTTCAAAAAAGGTTACAGTTACTAGCCATTCATAAGTACCTTAACGGTTTTGTAAGAAGAAATCAAGACAATTGCCTTAGTATTTGAACAGAGAATATTTCTAAAGTCGTGGCTTGCATAATTGACTATTTAGTAAGCACTCTCTAAAGCTATGATTAAACATTCATATACTTATAATTATATAAGAAGATTAAAGATTATATAAGAAGAAATTAGAGAATTACTTAGTCTCTTAAAAAACGATATCTTTAAGATCATAATTTACATATCCAGTTACTGGCTATTCGGCAAGCATGCTTTGAGGCTAGGATTAAACATTCATAGATACCTAAAAGATTTTATAAGAAGAAATCAAGAAAATTTCCTTAGTATCTCAAGAAAGCATATCTCTAAAGTCGTTGCGTGCAGAAGAGCCACTGGCTGTTTGGTAAGCATTAAATTGAGTACATTAAAATTTTGATAGTTGGAAATCAAAAGAACCGTTTGGTTATCCAATAAAGTATATCTCCTTACAATCATAACTGGTCACTGGCTATTTAAGAAACGCGCTCTAAAGCTATTATGAAACACTCATGAGCAATTTGGAAATTCTGTGCATGAGGAAGAACAAGAATTATACGAATCCTACTTTTTAACACTCTCCCGGAAACATTCAGCTTTAAAATTAAACACATTCTGAGCTTTATTAAGTACCTTTTGACTATCTTGAAAATTATCAGCAAGAGGATAAGCAAAAAATATTCACTTTTTTTACCTATCCAGCAGCTAGAAGAAGAAGTAGAATTTTCTAAGCATTATGTCTCCAACACTCGCCTAGAAGTATTCTGCTCTAAAATTAAGTACAATTTTAAGTCAGTCACATCAGAATGGACTCATAGCGTCCACTGTGGATTCGTAAATTGATTTGTAATTATGTAACCTAATATAACCTAATATTTTATTTATTTTCAAATAAAAGTGCTTCATAAGGGTAAGAACAGAAATCGTTGATTGCTTGAGTCAGTGTCTAAATCACATAGGAACCTACACATAGAGACATCTAGGTAAATATAAAGCAAATAAGCTTTCTAAACTACGCTGCTCTCTAAGTTTCTCTCCCAAGAGCATTGGTATTCCACTTGCAACGACTAAGGTGACCATTCAACGCAAATACATGAAGATAGTAAATGAAGCTTAAATAGATGATAATTCTTTATATATCACAAGACTTATTTGTCTTAATTGAAAAAGAAGCATGGTAGTTAAATAGATGATAAGTCTTGGTATATCACAAGACTTATTTGTCTTAATTGAAAAAGAAATGTGGACAGATCACTTCGTAATAATAACAGATGGGCATGGCGACTTAATTTATCTATTAAAGACTTTTGTCATAATTAAGGCCTAGTGTACATTTTCTGTTATATTTTTTATACATTGCCTTAAAATAGATATATTAAATGACATATATTTTCTACTATCATTGCAATATTTATGACAGTATACAGATTGAAATGGAAACTAACGGTTGTATTACATACTACATATTAGTTTTTTTTTATTTTTTTTTTTTCATTTTATTCATACGTTTTTCAATGCATTAATTTATATACATATTTTCTATAAGACATACTAAATTCTTCTCGGTTTGATTTAAGATATTAAATTAATGTCTTCGAACTTCTTGATTTCTATTCATTTGCCTCCTGGCATCCCTGGTGGAGCGGGGATAGGAAGTTCTGGAGGAACTTGACGGCGTACCTTAATTTGGATTTATAGACTTCATTTATTTACTCGAATTTTATTTAGTTGGGGTTTCACTTACTCTTGAGTCTATATGTTGCTCATTAATGGGCTGAAATAAAAATTCAAAGAATTAACATTGATATAAATTTAAGAATATAACATAATATGTATATAAGAAGAAGTTTTAAGGTTATGTTTAGTTAGCATACATATATACAAATATAAACAAATATGTGTAATATGTCTTACCTTTGGTGGTCGTGGCATCGGTGACTCTGCTTCAACATCTCGGCGTACCTAAATATTATTCAATATTTATGATTTTAATATTTAATTATAATGAAATTAAACTTACTCTGATCTGCTCAATCTGTCCATTTCTTGGCTAAATTTGTAAAAAAAAAAATTTGTTATAATTATATAAACCAATCAGTATCTGGATGCAAATATTATTAATTTGTTTTATATTTACGTTTGGTGGACCTGGCTTTGGAGGTTCTGCTCCAACATCTCGGCGAACCTAGACAATTTTTAATATATATAAATTTAATATTTAATTATAATAAAATTAAACTTACTCTCATATCTTCAATTTGTCCATTTCTTGACTAAATTTAAAAAAAAAATTAATTTGAATTATATTTGAGAGAATCTGCATAAAAATATTAACTAATTTTTATTATAATTACTTTTGGTGGACCTGGCTTTGGAGGTTCTGCTCCAACATCTCGGCGAACCTAGAAAATTTTAAAAATATTTATGTCTATTTAATAGCATATAGTCAACTTGAACTTACTCTTATATCTTCTATTTGTCCATTTCGTGGCTATATTTAAAAAAAAGAATAGATTTGAATTATATATGAGAGAATGTGCATAAAAATATTATCTAATTTATATTATATTTACTTTTGGTGGTCCTGGCTGTGGTGGCTCTGCCTCAACATTTCTGCGTACCTAAAAGTTTTGTAATATTTAGCATTTTAATATTTATTTATAATAAAATTTAACTTACGCGGATGTCTTCAATTTGTCCATTGCGTGGCTAAATTTAAAAAAAAGAAAGAAACCAATTGGAATTATATATGAAGGAATATGCATGAAAATGCTATGTAGTTGGTATCATATTTACTTTTGGTGGTCCTGGCATTGGAGGCTCAGCTTCAACATCGCGGCGACCCTAGAAACAAAATCATATATTATCAAAAGACTAATACTTTATGGAAATATTAACCAGTTAACATATAAAAAATTTGTGTGTATACCGGTAATAAATTTTAAAATAATTTAAATTAATTTTAATATAGTGTTGATCTCATATTATAATTTTATGAAATAATAAATTCAATAAACTTCAACTGTTTAGAGTAAAATAAAGGATATATGTTTTGAAGAATAAATATAAACTCAATTATTTTTTATTTAAGCTGCTATTGATATTTATTTTTATGAATGCTCCATATTTGCAAATTTTTATTATATCCGATTTATTTCATTTTAAATAATTTATATAAGTCTAATATTATTTTAAATAAATATGGCACTTACCCGTGATTTTGCTGGAACCCATTTCTTGCAACTTGCACTAACAAATGCAGTAGAGAGTAATACTGCCACAGTACAGTAAAGGACCAATCCTTTCATTATTTTTTAGTAGATTATTACACTTAAATTTCTGAATAGAAATCGTTATACACAAACCGAAAGCAAACTTTCGACTTGATTGACAAAATATTTCGTTGGGCTTTATATATACATATTAATCCAAAAAAAAAAATAAAATAAAAATAAAAAATTAATAAACGTTACGTTAAATCTTCTAAAAGATTTTGGATAAAAATCGACATGATTTTTGTTATTAATTTTATCAAATAAAAAATTAAATTTCCAGTTACACAAACGGAAACCTGAATTGTTTATAATCCACAAAAATAATTATTTTTTGTTGTCGAATTAAAACACTGAGAAATATTAAATATTTCTGACTATTTTTTAATTGTGTATTTTCTTCCCCCTCTCCTCTACCAATAGTATTTATTTCTATATTAAAATATGTTCGCATGTTCACAAGATCTTTTTGTTCTGATGTGAAAATTAATTTTTTTCCAATTATTTTATTTGCCATTGCCTCTTTGTTGTAAATTATTAAAAAAATAATTAAACTTAATTGTCCAACTTGTTTGTTAAATATGAAAAATTATAGTTCTACATGTTATATAAATAATCATTAAATATTTATAAACAAATTTTTATATAAATTCCAATTAAGTATTTACTTTAAATATTTATGAAGATTTTATTTACAATATTAAACTTTTGTTCAAAATTTTGTTATATTATATACTAAAATATATTAGATTATTCATTTCAATTTTTATTTAATTCATAATATACATATATTGTATGTATATATATATATTTTTTTTTTCCATACACTAGATTATATTTTTCATGTGTCCCAACCTCCATTTTTCCACTTTCTGGAGCTATGTCTCTGTCATGACTTTATATCTATATCCAGGTGTATTGTTAATATTTTAATTTCATATTAATAAATCATCTTTTAATTAAACGTTGAGTCTTTAGATGAGGTAAATATGAAAACTCAGATAGGTCGATTGAAGTCTTTGACAAGATGCCAGTCATAAATATTCGCATCCATAACGAAACCAGCTAAGTTAAGGATACCTAAAAATAAAATAAAGTTGTTGCCGAATTAATAACAACGCTTCCACTCTATGATTGGGCTCGGTAGTTGGCAATAGAGTCTGTAGCATTTTTCCAACAATATTGTTACGAGACCATCCTGTTTCTTTGCATGGTTCGCACAGAACTTTTTTTTAATTATACATATTTTGTATACTACAAGTATAAAATATATAATACTCATATCTTAATACTTTATTTTATTTTTATTTTATTTGTATTTTATTTATATTTTATTTTATATACATTTTAATACTAAGTACACTAGTTTCGTGACTTCTTTTTGAAAAACTTTGTGAAGTGCTTTTCAGCGGCTTTTTAATCAATTACTCTCTAACATTAAGTGAGTTATAGTAATTCAGTGAAAGGAATTAAATTAATTCATTGAATGAGCTTTTAAAATTAATTAAATATTAATTAATTAAACAAATAATAATTTAATTAAATTTAAATTAACTAAATTTCTGAGTTCATTAACGTGGTACACAACAGGCTTTGCAAAGCCCGCAAGCTTTGGTTAATGTTTCTTACCGAATATTAATGTAAATGTGTCGATGTAAGTTATATACAATACTCTTGTATTATAACAATTACAGAAATTTTATACTACTCTATACAATTATAGGATAGTCACATAAAACCCTTGTGAGGTAACATATATACAATACTTGCAGAAATATTATAATACTCCATACTATTATAGAATAGTTCCATAAAACCCTTGTGAGGTATATACAATACTTGCAGAAATATTATACTACTCTATACAATTATAGGATAGTTCCATAAAACCCTTGTGAGGTATATACAATACTTGCAGAAATATTATATTGTTCTATACTATTATAGGATAGTTTCATAAAACCCTTGTGAGTTATATACAATACTTGTGAAATATTATATTGCTCTATACTATTATAGCATAGTCACATAAATCCCTTAAGTACAGATGATATAGACATAATTTTATTATTTTCGTTAATGCCAACTTTTTTTAATCTTATATAGAAAACATTTCAAAAGAAATATTATTTATTATAGTCCACAATGCACAGTGATTTTAATTATAATACTAGTATTAAAGAAGATATTATCAAACTTATACACTCTAATTTTGAATGGTGAACCGAGCTAAATACATTAAAATTCTTATTAAAATAGTTTTGCACAAATGTGCTTTCTGACAAATACTAAAATAAACTTAAATGGGTGCAAAAGTAAGCCTTGTAGCTTCACAGACCATAAGCGCATAATTTTCACTAACAAACAACGTAGCAATAATTGCAGTTTTACAAGTTATAACAGCAATAAAAGACAACAAGAAGCCAACAATCAAATGACGACCTATTGACAATATAACTTCAAAGGACCATAATTATTTGTCCTTCACACTGCACTCCGCTGATAGTAGGTGTCATGGTAATACTTTTAATAAAGCCGCCAATGAAAGCGTTGGAAGCGCCCTCAGCTACACTTAAATTAAACGACCTCAAAGAACAGTAAACAAAACACAATAGCTTGGGTATGTACGTGGTTTGAAGTATAGAGCTTCATGGTATATGCTCCATGTAATGACGGTCCAATAACAATTGATAATGGGAATTGTTGTCATTGTTGATATTTCGCCATTGTAGTTGTGGTAGTTGTTGCTGTTGCTGTTGCTATTGCTGTTTTCGTTGTTGTTGTTGTCGATATTATAATAGTGCAGTTTGTTGTAATGACTTGCTCGTATAGATAAAAAGCGATGAGTGAAATTGTCCTTTTACTTGACTATCGCCTTAAACATCATCGTTTCATCAGCAAATCAACTCCATAGTGTCCTTTTGACATCATTTGGCGGTTGGACGCTTTTATCGTTACTATATTGCGTCATTATATTAACAGCAAAAGCAATAGTGAAAGTATACCGCAATATCAACGAAACCGGCATTACTTGGTGGAGAAGTTACAAGAGCGAATCATGCTTTCTTATAATGATTCACTCCCTCATCGTTACACTGCGGCAGGGGGCATTTGCTCATTAATATTTCGAGGTTTAATGTGCCATATTCAGCATACAATATTATGAAATATTGACAGAACGCGCTGTGCATACTCCTTGGTCGCTTTTGTGGTTTATTAATCTATTGCTTCGGCTCCTTGGTAAGGGCGAGCAGCATTTGCCGCGAGTGCTGGCGTATTGTAAAAGTCGCAAATGCTACAAAACCCTCTGTTCAATGTACATTATTATATTTGTTGTTGTTGTTGTTGTTGTTGTTGTTAGCATTAAAGCAAATATTTGTGTTAATCTGTCACTTTTCGAAGGTTGTAAATGGGAACTTTATCCTTTTACCCTAACACGGATACACATAAAATGTGTCTATTCGCACTTCATACCATAGAGGCATTGAATGAGCATGTGACTGTGCAAAAGATGCGAAACTCCTTATACTTCATCCACTCTGGCATGCCATTTGTACAAATCCTGCGGGTATTTACTTTTGCTTAGTATAGGTTCCGTGCCAAAAAATTCTGCTTGACTCCGGTGCCGAGTTATAAAAGTAAATATTTAATTTAATGTGAATTTTATTTAATATGCCACAGCACAACAATTGCTCATATATTGGCTACAATTGCTGCAACCTTTTGTTGCTTGGATTTTATTGTTTTTTCAGTAACTTATTGGTTTGGTTTATGGCGTTCATATTAGAATTACGCGTTATCGTTGCCATTATATTAAAATTTTATCATTTGCTCGTTTGCGGCAGTTACTGAAAGGGACGAACATTTAAGAAACCACGTAGACTCTCACTGGGACCATTGCGGCGAAACTGAAGGACTTAATATTTATTTGTCCTCACATTAATGCACAAATTTTTTATTTAAGTGCATTGTAAACTTTACCTTTTATTATTATACGTAATAGTTAAAAGTTTTTATATTTATATAAAGTGCATGAACATTTATTTAATAGTAAATCATATAACATTAGTAATACATTTTAAATTGAAAATCATAAATATATATAAATAATATTTAATAAATATATATAATATATATCTGAAAATAATCCATTATACATATTAAGGCTATAGCTGTATATAAACATTTGATCTGCCACATCTGACTAATAGATAACCGT